TCTCTCTCTCTCTCTCTCTCTCTCTCTCTCTCTCTCTCTCTCTCTCTCTCTCTCTCTCTCCTTCTTTCTGTGTCTCTATCGCTCGCGCGCGCACAACAGTGTCAACACACATGCCGATGTCGCTTTATATTATTATATTTTATTATGTATGCAGACACATGCCGCACGAACAACAACATTACACGACCGGACAAAGCACGCGGACAGCGCGGCGGCACCACGCCGGCAGTGAGTCACACACGCGGGTTAGCTGCCCCCAAGCTTGCTCTCAACGTCGCCGTCACCGCTATTAGAAGCACGCGTAAAAAAGCCCAATGCCGCACTTAATCAGCCAGAGCGACAGGCAGGCAGACGACTGCACGCGCCGAACGCACGCACGCTCGCATGCACGCACGCAAGCACGCACGTACGCACGCACACAAGCAAGCACGCACGCGCCGCACGTGCGCACGCCCGCAAGCACGCAAGCACGCACACACGCACGCACGCACGCAAGCACGCACGCACGCAAGCACGTACGCACGCACGCAAGCACGCACGCACGCACGCAAGCACGTGCGCACGCACACACGCACGCAAGCACGCAAGCACGCACACACGCAAGCACGCACGCAAGCACGTGCGCACGCACGCACGCCCGCAAGCACGCAAGCACGCACACACGCACGCACGCACGCAAGCACGCACGCACGCAAGCACGTACGCACGCACGCACGCACGCACGCACGCACGCACGCACGCACGCACGCAAGCACGCACGCGCCGAACGCACGCAAGCACGCACGCACGCAAGCATGCACGCACGCACGGGAAACAGGCCACCGGTCGTCCGCCACTATAAAGTGCCAGCAGCACGCGCGCCAGTTTTTAAATGTCAGTCGACATCGACCACGGATGGTGCCGCCATCTCGCGGATGCGGGAGGAGGCGGAGTGAGTGGTCACGAGGATGCATGGATGGAGGGACGCACTAACAGGAATTGACCACGGACGGTGGTGCCACCTCGCAGACGCGGGAAGAAACAGAGTTAGTGGTCACGGGGAGGCAATGATGGATGGACGCACTCGCAGGAAGTGACCACAGCAGACCAAGCTCCTCACTCTGTCACGCATCCATGACCACTCACCAAGGACACCTGGGCCACAAAGTTACACCTTAGCGCAACATGTCACTAGTTATATGCGAGAAGAAGGGACTCCTGTGACATTACTAATCTCAATAGAACCAGAATTCACTTGCAGAGCCGACGGCCTGTGGGATTGGTGGTGTTATATATAGCACTCAATTACATCTAATGTTTGGTCTGTTATACGAGGTTACCCTACGCTCAACTTCAGCTATATTTGACTTACTTGTACTCTGTCATACATTATATATTTGCTGTGATATATAGTATCAATATAATTTACCTACCTCTGAATTAGGTGTACTCTATCATGTATGACAGATGTTAAGTATTATATAATGTACATCATTACTCACATATACTTCTCACTCATACGCACCCTGTCAGGTATAATAGGATTGGCTCTATATGAGATAGAGCCTACGCCCAGCCTAAGCGATCTATCACTTACATTCACTCTATCATACATGATATGTTTGGTTTTATATGCGGTACACACCAGTATTCTATTATACGTGATACGCGTTTTCTTATATAAGCTATAGCATTTAACTATACTCACCCACTTGTTTTTCATCATACTTGATACGTTTGGTCTTATATGAGATATTACTTTTATAATTACTTCTCACCCACTTATTTTTTATTATAATTGATACGTTTGGTCTTATATGAGATATAACTTTTATAATTACTTCTCACCCACTTATTTTTTATTTATAATTGATACGTTTGGTCTTATATGAGATATAGCTTTTATAATTACTTCTCACCCACTTATTTTTTATTATAATTGATACGTTTGGTCTTATATGAGATATAACATTTATAATTACTTCTCACCCACTTATTTTTTATTATAATTGATACGTTTGGTCTTATATGAGATATAGCTTTTATAATTACTTCTCACACACTTATTTTTTATTATAATTGATACGTTTGGTCTTATATGAGATATAACTTTTATAACTACTTCTTACTCACCTGCACTCTATCAGGCATAGCCTTCAATCGACTCAACAGCTCTGTGCCAGACTTGAGTTTCTCGGACAGCACTTGTAACGTCTGCGACAACTCCGTCTGCAAAGCAACACAGAGAATGCTTAGTTACCGCGAATAACATAGTATAGAATAATCATATATAATATAATATAATAGAATAGAATAGAATAGAATAGAATAGAATAGAATAGAATAGAATAGAATAGAATAGAATAGTATAACATAGTATAGAATAATCATATAGAATAGAATAGAATAGAATAGAATAGTATAACATAGTATAGAATTATCATATATAATATAATATAATAGAATATAATAGAATAGAATAGTATAACATAGTATCAGGAGTGAATAATAATAGATAATAGTAAATAGATAAATAGAAAATAGATTAGATAATAGATAATAGTGAATAATCTATTATTATTCACTCATGATAGTATAGAATAATCACTGAAATATCGCGTGAAACATCGCGGAAATGACACAGAGGTGTCGCTGGAATATCCCGCGCAAAACGCTTATAGAAAAAAACAGCTTCGGGAATATCGTAGAAATGTCACCAAAATATAAATGACACGTTAATTAAAAGGTCTCAAAACTGTCATGTTAAACTGCACCAGAGAAATCTCACAGTACTGGCACACGCACGAACGCACGCACGCACGCACACACTCACGCAGGCAAGCACGCACACTCACGCACACACAGGCGCGCGCGCACACGCAGGTACGCACGCACGCACACATACAAACACACACACACACGCGCCCACACACACGCACACACACGCATGCACGCACGCACGCAGAACTGTCGCACAAATATCGTCAAAAACAAGTGTAACGCGCGCATCACAAGAATGTCACAGACATGTCATCAGAACGCGACCACAATCTGCGTTTAACGCCTCACGCTCTTTCCTGTACACTCGGTGTGTGTGTGTGTGTGTGTGTGTGCGCGCGCGCGTGCGTGCATGCGTGCTCGTGTGTGCGTGCGTTGGTGCGTGCGTGTGTGTGTGCGTGCGCGTGCTCGTATGTGCGTGCGTGCGTGCGTGTGCGTGTGTGTGTGTGTGTGTGGGGGGGGGGGTTGATGAGGCGGACACTTCACGGACGCGTAGCTACTAATATACTGTCGTTGAAAACACTCGGCGATCTATCAACGACAATCCACGTAAGTCTCACGAAGCATCCAACAAAAACACGCCGCTTTACTACTTGAGAGAGGAAAAGCCACTTATTGCTGCTTCTGCCTGTCTATCGATCTGTCGGTTTGTCGGTCTGTCTGTCCGCCCATCCGTCCTTCCGTCGGTCGGTCGGTCGGTCTGTCGGTCGGTCGGTCGGTTAGTCAGTCTACATACATATATATGTGTGTATATATATATAGCACATTTTCTTGTCCTCCTTTTTTCTCTTTCTCGCTCTATCGCAAACTAGCATACGTATTAATTTCATCAAAACTGTTGGTGGCAGTTTAATTGCGCGGAAATTGAGATTTTCTTACGGAGGAACAAATTTGAAATCGGATTTTATTTTTCAGCTAGCGACGGTGAAACTGAGAAACCATTAGTTAAGTAATTACGCTCGATCAGGGCCCGGCGGCACTTCAAAGCCGCATTACAGTAAAGATTACCGAGGCCGGCATAACGGCACGTGCACGCTGTGCTGCGAAGATTTTTTTTCTCTCCCCCTCCTTCTCCCCCCACCCCCACCAACCTCCGAGCCGCAATTTGTTAACGCCGCACCCGAGAATTTGGCACACTCATTTGCATCGAGGTTATTCCGTAATGCGGAGCGCTACCCCCTTCCCCGAGGTTCAGTCCACTCGCCGGGAGGGGGTGACGAAATTTGTCTGAAAGTACTCGAAAGTGAGCGGACTGAAACAAAACTACGCCTCCCCCGGCCCCCTCCCACCGTGTCCCCGCGGAGTGTTGAGACGCTCCCCGGGGGGGGGGGGGCTAAATGTTAATGCATGCGCGTTCAGAGAGGTGATTCGGCTGCTAGCTGCTGCTGCTGTGGTTAAATTGCACACGCTCCAGCATTAGCGCTGCAAGAGGGAAAAGAGTAAAAGCTTCTAATGCAAAATGCGATTGACTCCTCGGCACCCCCCACCACCACACCTCGTACCTCTCTCGCTGGCACGCTGCCAAAAACGCATGGTCGGTGCACTTATGTAACACATTAATTTTACTCTTTTTACTCTTTTCCCCTCTTTTCTCTCTCTTCATCTCCCCTTCCCTCTCTCTCTCTCTGTGTGTCATTTTCAGTTATCTTTTTCCTCTCCTCTCTCATTCTACACAGA